AATTTCCATGGTGGTTTTTTAAGCAATATGTGGAATCCCACCAGCGTTCGTTCTCCTGGGGGTCTACCGCTGCTCTTGCCACGTGGCTCGCTGTGCTCCGCTGGCGTGACTTGCCGGGTTCCCAGCCTTCCCGAGGGAGGGGGCCGTACCTGGGGGCCTGGCGTATGGAGAAGGGAGGGACGGCGGGGTCTCGCCATCAGGCAGACAAACGAGAGATTTTGTATCGTGATGACACCGTTAAAGTGGAACAGGTTGGAAAATCAATCGGATTCCTTCTCCGATTACAGCGCAACTCAATCACTGCGGCCCCTCTGGGGCCCCAGGCAGCAACCGACTCGCGGGCAGTGCCGAAAACAGAGCTTTGAACTCGAGCCATTGGGGACAAAGGCACGGTCCTGCCACGGAGCGTGCCAGAAGGACGGGCTGTGTTACAAATAATGAAAAGGGCTGGGGAAATGCACTCGTGACGCTGGGGTTTAGGGCGGTAAGACCTTCTGAGGCTCAGCTAGGAAGGCGCATGGGTGACAGCAGTTTTTGATAAAGGCATCAGATGACACCCGTCGTCTTCCGTGTGCCTCGGCGTGAACGTACCAGCAGCCCCAAGTACGCATTTTCTGGTCACTGGTTTTGGATAAGTGCCGGTCTTGAGCAGTTATGCTGATTCCTCCCCCCCCCCCCAGTAATTTCCAAGCGTTGGAAATATCTGGAGATCAGACATTGAAACCACACAATTCTGATTGCTATCTTGCTGTTGTATCGCATCAGTTGCCGATAATTCACGCAAAGGTTTGTGTTTCACATCAGCGCTGTGTATCACTAGGAAACAGAGCATCGGAGGTTTATAAAGCCTTTGTCCTAAAGCTGCTGGTTTGTGAGATAGCCGACCTCATAGCCGATGCTCTCCGATCTCGCGGTGCCTTTCTGATGGGACAGGGAGCCTGCGGAGCCTGCGTCCCAGCACCGGCGAGACGCTGCGTCCCGGCTGCGCGTTGGGACTGCTGCCTCCTGCGACCTGGCATTCCGGTCCTGCGGAATGGACTTTAACTTACCTTAAACTCAGGATTTTTATGGTGTTAGATTCCAAGGAGTGTGATCTCAAAAGAGGACACAGGTATTTTCTTTCCCTGTAAGAGGGAGCAATTTCTGGTATGACTCTTTTTTTCCCTTTGCTTTCTCCAGTAGACGTCCTTCTGGTCTTTGTGGGTTTGGGTGATTTCTGACAGCTCTCTCACCTTTTAATATGAATTTTGGTTGGTTTATTTGTTTTGTTGCCTTTATTTTTTCTTTTCATTTGCACCTAAACCAGCTGATGTGGTCCCCAAAGAGCGAAACGCGTACCGTGCCAGCTGGCGTGCCCGCTGGCTGCGAAGCCTTGTTAGGGAGATCGAAGCTGACAGATTCTTGAGCAGCAATCTGATACAGGCCTTTTCTTTTTCTTTTTTTTAAATTTGTTTTTTTGAGCTCACCCGTGTAACAAACGGGGGCTTGTTTGGGAGCTTCGCTAGAGGCTTGAATGGCGGCTTTGTCACCGAAACACTGCCGTGATTGAGAAGCGCCCGGCAAAGGGGCTTCCTCTCGCCCCTCGGCTGGGGACCGCCGGGGGGGGAGCCCCCCCGAA